ATCCCATAAACGTATAGAGTTATCATCACTACCAGACGCTAAAGTATTTCCATCAGGAGAGAAACAGACTGACATTACATTACTATTATGACCATCTAATTTATTTTTTTATTATCCTGTCTTAACATCCCATAAACATATAGAGTTATCACTTTCCTCATTGGAATAAGGATTACCACTGCCAGATGCTAAAGTATTTCCATCAGGAGAGAAACAGACTGATTGAACCCAATCATTATGACCATCGAATTTATTTTTTTATTATCCTGTCTCAACATCCCATAAACGTATAGAATTATCATAACTACCAGATGCTAAAGTCTTTCCATCAGGAGAGAAACAGACTGAGGTAACACCTTCGTTATGACCGGTTATTATTTATTTTTTTTTTCTACTCTTGATATCCCATAAACATATGAACTTGCCTTAACTACCAGATGCTAAGACTGTACCATCAGGAGAGATGCTTAAAGAATTGATATAACCTTAACCTTTCAGATTTGCTTTCAACTCTCCTGTCTTAAAATCCCATAAACGTATTGTATTATCATTACTACCAGATGCTAATGAATTTCCATCAGGAGAGAAACACATTGATTTTACATAACTAGTATGACCATTTAATTTATTTAATTCTAGTATTCTTATATTCTTCCATTGACAATTAAAAAGTTACGTACCATTAAAATTCACTCCACTTAAATCAATATTATTAAAATTTGATCCACTTAAATTACATCTTACAAAATTTCCACCTATTAAAGAAGTATTCTCTATCCTGATATTTTTCAAACACTAGTTCTTTAAATCTACCTTCATTTCGACCAAAAAATGAAGTGAATTAGATCCACAATTTATGAAATGCTTATCAATAGAAGTTAGATGAACTAAAAATTTTAAAAACCATTTGATTTTTTTATTTTTTTTAATTTTATTTATTATATCTTATTTTCTTTCTAAATATTATTGAGAGGAAAAATCCTTTAAATTAATCTCATTGTCTTCAATTCTTTTGAGTGTATCAAGAATTATCTTAATGCCTTATCCCAACGCTTCTAACTTATTTCCTTCATCTGTATTTGATGAATTCTTGAGTTTTGTGATGCTCGATAGAAGATGTCTTTGATTAACTTCTATCGAAAGATATTCAATAGTGTCTAATATGTTTTCTTTTCTAAAAATTTCGATTATGTAAGCGAATAATTCTTCATCCACTACCAAGACGTTGGCAAAAATCTCAGATAGGATTTCTTGTTAGTTATCAAAAGTATTCATAATCTTTTTTAAAAAAATTAATGAATTCCTTTTTTTGGTTTTGAGTTATAGAAGACAATTGGGGAAAGTATCTTTTGTGTAAATAGTAGTATAAAGGTAAAACTCTATGAAGATTTTAATTTGATTGTATTTGAGGTGGAATTTTCATATGTTAAATCAAGCAAACTTTAGCAATGCTTGTTTCCTTAGGAATATAGAATAAATGCGTACTTGAAGAAAATACATTATTAATTATTTTTATAT